TAACCATATACCCTTAACGTACAAATTAGATAAACTTATCAACCAATTATCATCAACCTTTCACACATGCACATACACAATAATAAAACTTGAAGGAAAAACAATGAAACTGAGGCACTACGAAAACGGAAAACAACGCAATTGAACAAATACAATTTTTACGGCAGAGGGAAGAGTTTGAACTCAGTTTATAAGACTTGGAAGCGCACCTTTTTATTAAACGGCTTACAAGGCCAGGTGCGAAAAACAATCGTAACTGAGTCTTTTGAATTCATCAATTGCCTTTAATTCGCAATGTATGAGCATGCAAAGCTTCAATAACCTTTTTCAATAGCTCCTTGGACTCTGCGTCTATGAGATTGCCATCGGCATCGAACTTGGGAGGAGGCTGGAAAGCCTTGACAAAAAACAGGGGTTTATTGACGAAATGAAGGTCCAGAAAAACTCCAATCTGGCGGAGATGGAAGTGTTGTAAGCCCCCTCCAAGGCCTCCTCCGGCACTGACGATGGCGGCGGCTTTTCCGGCCCATACATTAGGTGGTCTTGATGCCCAGTCAATAGCATTTTTTAATATTGCTACATCATGGTTCATGCATTTTGGGGAAAAAAAAATTAACATTTATCCATCGAAAAAAGAGAAAATGATTAACAACTCTTGCTTTTCTAATTGAGTCCTATTATTAACATGAATAATTACATTAAAGACATATGGTGCCTCCACCATCACCTTTTACTTTCCATTTTTGACCCGCAAGTCCAGCACAACATCTTTAGACTTCAATGGATTTACATTTTTTTTTTTGGTGGCCGGCGCCGGCAATGATTAAGCATCTTATTAATTAATACTTAGATGATATTAAAATAATTTTTTAATATATATTTTAAGGATACAAATTAAAGATTAATATCATATTTTTTATCTTAATTAATTATTATACCATTTAATTCATTTAACAAACAAAAAAAATATAATATAATAATATAATAATTAATTATATTAAAATAAAATAATAATATTTATTTACCTCACTTCTCAAAAATTATAAAAAAAATAATTCTAAAATTATAACGTTTTAATAAATTTTTACTAAAAAAACTAAAACACACTATTTTTAAAATATGAGCTAAAATGTTTTTTTGTCTTTTTTT